TAGATGGAGGCGAAATTCGATGTTAAAGAACGCTATATATAGATGGTCTAATTTTCCCGAGCACTCCACTCTACGGCGTACCTCATAATGATATCGTAGTTTTGGGACGTAATAAATAATTATTGCCCTGATGCTGTTATTATTATTACTATTATTATTACTATTGCTGCTGTTTGTTGTTGTTGTTAATGTTGGTAATGCTACCTATTGTGGCGCTTAATGCCAGGAATACGGAGACACAGCAGTTATCGCCTAAGCTGCCACAAGCAGCGGTCTCGTCATCGCATAGCCAGCACCACCACCGTCGTTGACCTGTCGCCTTTTAAGCCGCAGCACACGGGATCTAGGGCTATACTGGCATTCGCAGACGCAACGTTGGAAGCACTGCTCTCAATTTCGCCTAGTTACGCGGTTAAGAAGATTACATAAAAATAGTGTGACGAATACTCCATGGCAAACTCATCGACATGGTCGTGCGGTGCATGAATGCGCGTCACCATATTTTGAAGCTCTAACTGGAGTTGGAATCCTGTGTGTATGGCATTCGTTTACGGTCGCGCGCAGCTGCATCTGGATAAGTGACGCACTCGAGATGAACTTGTGTTTAGGACAGGAAGCCATTTCAATGCGCGCCAATCGACAGCCGTTCGTATGTATGTAGATTGTCATGACTACTTCGTCTCTTGCTCTTTAATTCGGATTGATGCGTCACCGAGAGCTAGAACTTTGCTAACCATTTGGTTCATACAGAACTTGAAAAACAGCTCAACTGTGTTATCTGAAGAGATCGACAATGAATTTACATTCTGAATATATCCGGCCCCGCCGCGAAGGTCTAGTGGCTAAGGTACTCGGCTGCTGACCCGCAGGTCGCGGGATCGAATCCCGGCTGCATTTCCGATGGAGGCGGAAATGTTGTAGGCCCGTGTGCTCAGATTTGGCCGCACGTTAAAGAACCCCAGGTGGTCGAAATTTCCGGAGCCCTCCGCTACGGCATCTATCATAATCATATGGTGTTTTCGGGACGTTAAACCCCACATATAAAATCATCATCAATCATCTGAATATATCCGCCTAAATGTCCTCATCAATGCGGTTCTCTCTTGATGACCTTTATATAGTTTCCGATTCAGTATGCATTTATTAATGCAATATATAGAATTAGTCGGAAGGGTTGCTGGTGCCGTACGTAGCTATAAGGTAAACGCAGCCGCACGTAGGAATGGCATACCTGGGGAGTACGTGCGTTATATAGGTATGGTTGACTCGGTGTTAATCGACGCGCATTAAGACGGGGCACGCTGACTATTGTGCGCTTCTATAGCCGTGTTTCAGACTAATATTCGCACACCCCTTTAAAGAGTAGTGACACCATTTTTTTTTAAGGTGAGTTTTCTCTGCCATACTAATCTGTATCGGAGGTGGCTTTGGGCAAGGAATGAAGTTCAGCAAATTATGATATTTCAAATTTTTGCAGTAGAATGAAAGTAATGTACGAACAACCTAGGAAAAGAGCAGTGCTTACGAGATAGGTAATAGTGCACTTCAAGTTGTAAAAGACTGTCTTCTTAGGGCAGGTAATAACCGCGGAGCTGAATTCACGAGATTGAAGTAACTAGAAGAATAATAACGGGGTGGAGCACATTTGGCAAGCACTCTCAAATTATGACAAATAGATTGCCACTATCCCTCAAGAGGAAGGTATATAACAGCTGTATGTTGCCGGCACTTAGCTACGGAGCAGAAACCTGGAGACTTACAAAGAGGGTTCAGCTTAAATTGAGGACGACACAGCGAGCAATGGAAATAAAAATGGTAGGTGTAACCTTAAGAGACAAGAAGAGAGCAGAGTGGATTAGGGAACAAACGGGGGTTAAAGATATCATAGCTGAAATCAAGAAGAGGAAATGGACATGAGCCGGGCAGGTAGCACGTAGACAGGATAACCGCTGGTCATTAAGGGTAACTAACTGCATTCCCAGAGAAGGGAAGCGGGTTAGGGGGAGACAGAAGGTTAGGTGGGCAGATGAGATTAAGAAGTTTGCGGGTATAAATTGGCAGCAGCAAGCACAGGACCGGGTTAACTGGCGGAACATGGGAGAGGCCTTTGTCTTGCGGTGGACGTAGTCAGGCTGGTGATGATGATGAAGATGAAATTTTTTCAATAATAATATGAATTTCCCAAAGGCGCACCCCCTGATAATATCGACATTTGCTGGACGTCAGGCTATACTTGTTATTCTGGTGACTTCACGCAGCAGTCTGGCGAATAGGTATGGCGTCAGGTACTAAAGTTACCAAAATGGTCGCTTTTGCGTCCCGACGAAGCCCCGTTGCAGAACGGCCGTGGAAATGTCGCGCCGTGTTTGCGGGATCGAGCGATGGGAAGCTCGTACCGTGCCGTGACGCCAGAACACAGATGGAACTGAAACGACGTTTAGAAACAAAGTGTAATTTCTCTTTTATGGGGCACTCACGCTTAGAACATTTTCTAGTGTCTTCGGAGCCCGCAGCCTTTCATTTGACGCAAAAAGAAAGATAACAGAAAATTTTTGTGCCAGTATCTCCAAGGGCAAACATTACCCTCGAAGTCCGATCGTTGTGATCCTGCCTTTCCTGTGTGTTTTTACTTCGCGGCTAAACCACGTCCTTAAGTTAGTACCAACTAGGCGAGCAAACACGCGTTATAATTCACCCCCTATAGAACTGCGTTCCACCCAGTCAGTAATCAACACCAATTACCAACAGTAACCAGTGCCGTACGATCCGGAAATTATTTCTTTCTCAGAAACGTCAATATTTCTTCGCGCAACATACAGGTAGTTCGTTGTGCCTGAGGCCTATGAGCTTTAGAGGACCCTCACCTCTCATAAATCATCATCATCAGTAGCAGGTCCAGCAGAATCATCATCATCTTGACTACGCCCACTGCTGGGCAAAGGCCACTCCCATGTTCCGTTAACCAACCCTTTTCTGCCTTAGAGGCTGGCATATTGTACCCGCAAACTTCTTAACCTTTCGATGCCCACATGACTTTGTTTCCCCTGCCCCCCTTTCCTAGTCAGCAATTCTAACGGGAAAAAGTGGCCTGAGAACGATATCTGCAATCAGACACTTTAGAATAAACCATTGAAAGCACTACGTCGCAAACCTTTTTTTTTTTTCTATGTGCGAAGATTCCAATGGCGTGACCGCGTCGGCAGGTCAGGTGCGTAGCAACTACAGCGAGTGCTGAAATCTCCGACACGTGCGTCGTGTTTACGGTAGGCTCTCTTACCGTCGATGTCGAAGAAGCGCCATTTTATCGTTTAGTTGCGTTATTGAAAGAGGTGCTATTGACCCTTAGAATACGAGAGCTGTTTTCTTCGTTGCAATGAGAAATAAATGTTAGCATTACTTGATGCAACGTGAGTACGTACAAAATGAAAAGGTCAAAGCTTCAGCGTAAGGAATTTGAGATGTCTAATAAATCGTACAAAGGTCTTTCGAGCCAATAGGTAAAACAACATTTAGAGCTCACTCAAACTCACTCATGAAATATACCTCACCCTGGGGGTTCCCTTGGACTGATGCTCACCAATTTTCAACCGGACTCACTCGGGTTCAGACTCGCTAAAATGTCTCTCACTCAGACTCGCTCATCATAATGTTACTAACTTGGACTCGCTCAGGCTCATGGGTCACTTCGAGTCTGAGTCGACTCATGAGTCTATCAGCGAGCTATTACCTGTTTCGTTCAAAGTGCCAGCGCTGTTTCATAATGTTATCTCGCATAATCAGTGCTGCGCTTGGCGCTTTTGATCTCTCATATTTAAATAAAAATCATCAGCGGTCGCAATTTACTAAGGGCATTGTGATGTGAAGCGACGACTCTCGCGAGGTGTTTTTAACAAGAACTTTCCCTGAAAGCAAAAAGGGGAAGAGGAGGCGAAACTGACTCGCACTCATTAACATATTACTCACCGAGACTCACGGATGAACTTTCAGTCTGAGTGAGTTTAAGTGAAACGACTCGTAAGTGAGCGTGCCGACCGATGCGTTCGAGAAGTAGTACTTTGTATTGCATGTTGTTCAAATATGCAACAACGCGCCCGCCATCATAGCGCGTCTTCGCACCCACTTTAAGACGGCAGCGAAAATCAATTTCTAAACATGTTGACTGCGCAAAGCAGCATTCCTTCCCACCTTTCTTTTTTTCAAAATTCACCCGCTTTGATATACATTTGGGACTCTTGAAAGAAAGAAAGAAAGAATGAATGAATGAATGAATGAATGAATGAGTTTTCATCAAGTTAATAATAAAATTGTCAGATTTCACGTGCCAAAAACACGACACGATTATCAGAGACTCCGTCGTGGAGAGCTGCAAACATTTCGACCATCTGGTGTTCTTTAACGCGCACCATAGAACATCACACACATTTCTACCATTTCGCCTCCATCGAAAAGTGACTGCCACGACCGGGATCGAACCCGTTACCTTCAGGGTAGCAGCCGAGCGTCGTAGCCACTGATCTACCAAGGTGGACTTTGACGAAGTTTGTACGGTATTTCACTTATATTTCTTGTTTAGCTATGCCCAAACCCTCGTAACGCAGTAACCTTCAGTTTAAACGCGTGTTAAATGGGCAACATCCTTAGCCACATTGAACAGTTCATGGTTGGTTATTCCTCGATGGGATTTTTCGGCTCACTCTAGAAAATAGGCCTCTATTGGACGACCGGGAAAATTTTATAATGTTTGATGACGATTTAAAAGTGATGAATTGAACATTTCAGAAGAAAGGTGTAGTAATATCAGAACAAAGAAATGAGGGTTGCTCTCATAATATAGGAATGATGTCACATATGGCGCGTGTCATTGGTTGAAGGCAATCGTTCGATTTAGTGCGGCGACGTACGCTAGGGGGAGCGTTGTAATAAAATCCGTTCGCTGTTGGCGCGCGCTCGGAGTCGCCGGATGGATAAGGCTGCACAGCGGAGAGAGCGCAAGGCGGCAGCAGCGCGCGCTCGCAGACAGAATCCCGATGTGCGAGCGCGCGAGGCAAGGGACATCGCAAGCCATCTATCGTCTAAGAACAAATAAAAGTTGATTTGTGTATATACACACACAGCGTTTCTCACGTCTTTACATGATGATCGACTGGGCGAATTACACGGAATATTCACAGTTACCGATGAATCCCTCCGGAGCTTCGCCCATTCATCATCATTCACCCCGTGAATATGCCGTAATTTTTTTCTTTTATCAATTAGAAGGCTCGCTTGCAGATGGTGTCGGCGTTGCGAGGCGAGAGAACGGGAGGGGACGCGCATGCACACTAAGGGTGGTCATGCCGCACACCAGATTGAGCTCGACCCTAGGACGCTTCTCATCGAAGATTCCCTTTAGTGGGCAATCACCACGTTCTTCTATGTCATTATCATCATAATCAAAATCAGCATCCCCACGCGAAAGTGGCCCGGGCCCCTACGAGGGCCTCGGCTTTCTCACGGTGTGACACATCAATCGGTCGCCGTAGGCCAGCGCAGCCGCTAGCGCCACACGAAGTCGCCCTCCACCCGACGACTGCGACTTCAAGGCAATGCGGTCCGGGTCATGGGTCGAGTCGTGCGTGCGATGGCCGGGGCGCGACTTGGCGGCGGCAGTTGATGGTGCAACAACAGCATTCGATTCTGGCCGTGGTCGGGATTCATCAGCCCGTTACGCTCGTTTGCCGTCATGCAGGAAGCACCAGCAGACGTCCGTGAGCCCCGCTGTAGTGCCACGACACTACGAGTCCATCGTCAACGCTGGCTCGTCCATCATCTACTGCTCCGCCCGGGGCGACCCCGATGAGCCCGGCGCTGGACAGCCATCCATACACATGCCCGTCAACTCCGGCTCGCAGGTACAGGTCCTTTCTCTGTATACTGTGGTGCAAAGCTGGTCTAAAAAGGAACGTCGATAGAGTCAACAGCTCGAAAAGATAGTCAGTGTCGTATAGTCCTTCTTTAGAATCGTACGAGTGTAAGACCTGTTTTCACAGACCAACTTCATTCTTATGTCATGTTTTCCTTAAGATCCTTTACGCCCGACGAGCGTCACGAGCACACACACAAAAAACGAAAATGGTAACGGGGTAGAACATAAGCACAAGCTTTATGAATAATCGTTTACTTCGTTTGTCATGCTCCCTAAAGGTTCAATACTGATAAGAAAAAGCGCGACATAAGCATAAGGTTAGTTTGCGAAAATAGGCCTGAACCTCGGTGAACCCAAACTTCCAGATTTGGCGTCCCCTCGATTTCTTTGGTGCCATGAAGACTCTGCCTATGAGGACAAATGACGAGTCTGAAGATCCATTTATGCGGCTGTTGGCTCAGGCTATGACTGCTGGCACAATGCCTTTTCGACAACTTCTCACCACTACTAAGCTTTGGTGTGACCATCTCAAAAGTGTGCCGTTAAATTAGGTATATAAGCGAAATGGTCTTGAGCATCGTGTCGTCCTTTTGCGTAGTTCCTTGCCATTTCTATCATAGAACGGCACTTGATTTCGTTTCGGGCGTTTGGCTGAACAAGTGCAATGTTGATTGAAACCCATGTATGCCGAGAGTATAGCGTGGCGTTTGCGTCAGGTCGCGCGTGGGGCGCTCAACTGGATTAAAGTGACATTATTAGAGCAAAGCATGTACCCACATGCAGCTCGCGGGTTCGCATTTACAACTGCTAGTCGTATGCATATAATATACGTGCAAGGCAGAGTCCTTTGTGCCTGTATACTTGAATGTATGCATGTCAGTCGTATAACTCGCTTGTCCAGAACAGCTATAGACCACTTTTTAGATATGAAGCAGCTTATAGCTAGGGCTTTGTCCATCCCTCCTTCCCGCGGCGTCCACACATCATTGCGCATGCGCGTCCCCTTCTTCTCTATACTCTCCTGCAACCCCTCTTTCTCTCCATGGAGTTCACACCCACACTTCGCATGCGCGTCCCTTTCTCCTTTCCTACTCTCTCTCTCTCTTTCTCGTCGGTGGTGAAAAGAGCACCGGAGGTAATGAGTGACGATGTGAAGGCGGTGGTTTTCGAGGCGTTTATATTCGCCCATCATATTCTTGTCCACGTTGTCGTTCTTCTGGTGGAAGCGATGGTAACTGGCAGCGTTTGTCAGGTAGAGGTTCCCAATGTTAGTGCACCTGCTTAAGGCGACTACTGTAAGGCGGCGTAGACGAGTTTTTGTGGGTGCCGTTCCCCTCCCTTTAGCAGGAGATGGTGTAATTTTTTTCACATCAATATTACTTTCGATAATACTGTTGGTAACAATAATGATAATAATCACTATCATTACCACCATCAGGGGTGTTTAAATATATTTGCCATGGGCACTGTCCTATCCAATTACGCCTCTGGTAGCAATGCACTCTAAGGCATATATCGATGGACTTTCTACGACTACGTGAAATAGAATTAAACGCAAAATTAGTTCATCCTCACCGACAACTACGGGTGTACTCAGCGAGTAATCTACAGAAAGATATGTTGTATTACGTGTAACGGAGCACCCTACAACTGTTCTCTAGAAAAAAAAGAAAAAAAATTGGCACAGCCAGAGAACAGCAGCATGTGAGTGAAATCGTGAAAACACCTCATAAGTGCTTAATAACTCTGCAGCTGTTTCGAGAAAAAAAGTCCTACTATTTTTTAGGGGGAAGAGAAGAAAGACAGTTATAGCTTATTTTCAGAACTGTCATATACCGTAACAAGCGCAGTGGGCACGGCCGATTCAGACGAACCACGTAATGTAGTTGGCGGTTGCGAAATAGTTACACAACGGAATGGCTTTACGTTATCGTACCAGCAGGGTTACTTTATTTCCGTTCGGTAATTCCTAGCAGGTGTCGTACTCCAGGAAAGCGAATGTGTTCTCGACCAACTGGTGGGATAGATAAGCCCATTCTACGTAAAGGTGACGTTGGCGCTTGCGTACGTTGGAGAGAGCGCGGAAATGTATTTCTATACAGGGTGCCCTAGCTATCTTTAGCCAGAGTTTAAAAATATGCCGACACACGCAATTACGACGCGACCAAATGTACGTTGCTCACCGTTGCCTGAGTTAGTCTGACTATTTTTGTGTTCTAAATATTGTTTAAATAGATGTATTTATTTAAATAACTTTGAAGAAACTAAGACAAATAAAAATTTCAATGAAAAAGTTGCAGATTGCTTTGCACAATGTCGGATGAGATAGTTTTGAACATTACATCTGTTAGTGATAAGTGTTTTTCTGATAACAGCAAATGCCCGCGAGATACACAAATACCACGTGACAAACCCGCTCGCGTGCCAGTGAGCATGATAATTCTAGTGCTCCCTTATGTTCCACGTACGAATGACCACAGCATTTACCCGATTATACTGTCTCGACAGGGCCGCAACAATGGCGGTGGCTTTGCGATGAACACGTCTTGATATTGGCCACAAAAGCGATAACCGCTGTGACTGCTTATCACTGTCACAACCCGGTGTGAGGGAAGCGTATCGTTCGTAGGCGGAATGCTAAAGAGCACCAGAATCACGGCGCACATGGGCGCGCCAGTGGATTTGTTACGTGGTACTTTTTGTATTTCGCGGGTATTTGTAGTTAGCAGAAAAAATGATCGATTTGTGGGGTTTAACGTCCCAAAACCACTATATGATTATGAGAGACGCCGTAGTGGAGGGCTCCGGAAATTTCGACCACCTGGGGTTCTTTAACGTGCACCCAAATCTGAGCACACGGGCCTCGACATTTCCGCCTCCATCGGAAATGCAGCCGCCGCAGCCGGGATATGAACCCGCGACCTGCGGGTCAGTAGCCGAGTACCTTAGCCACTAGACCACCACGGCGGGGGTTAGCAGAAAAAAACACTAATAATCTACTACAGATCTGAAGTTCAAAACTGCCTAATTAAACGGTTTGAAAGTCATCTACAACATTCTGATTGAAAGTTTTTATGTCTTCGTTTTTTCAAAAGTTAGTTAAATAAACAGATATAATAAACAATATTTTAGAGCACTAAAATTGTCCGATTCACTCCAAACAACGGTCAGAAACATGCATTTGGTCGCGTCGTAATTGTGTGTGTCTGCATATTTTTAAACGCTGACTACAGATGGCTGGGGCATCCGGTATACGTATATGCGCAAGAATTTCATCATGTAGCCTTAGTACACGTTTGTGGTATTGAAAAGCGTCAGTAATACATAATTTTTGAAATTTTGCGCCCCCCAAAACCATGATATGATTGTGGGAGATGCCCGTGTGGAGGGCTTCGGGTATTTAGACCAGCTATAGAGTTCTTTAACGTGGACCGTAAACGCTGGCCTGCAGCATTTTGCGCCAATCAAAATCCGGCAGCGGCGGCAAGATTTTTGTACCCGCTCCTTTCGGGTCAGCAGTGAAGTCCACTACGCCGCTGTGGTGGATATTGAAAACGGAGGATTCTGAACAAACCGTTACGTTGTACAAGTGCAATAATTGCTCGTTAGGTAGGCGGTCCATTGTTTGGGCACTTTAATGTCATGAAAGGAAAGGTGCTTGGAAATTGGGGCCAATAAATGCAGTTAGCGTTTCACGGTAAGAGCCGCGTGCAAGGTCGCAGCCAGGACTCTGAAGACGAGGCGAATCCACGAACGAACCATCACTCTCGTGACCAGCGGAACGTATACTCTCACCACCAGAATTTCCTCCGGCACGTTTTAGCGGAGAACTGTACGAATTCGTGCGCACACATACACCGAGAGCGAGCTGGGTGGCGTCGCGTGACAGTGTACGCGCACAATGGCCGCCGCGTTTATAGCGTTACGCCGGCGCGAGTCTCCTCACATGCTCGAGCGCGCATACAGCGCCCCGCACAAAGGAGGAGATCGCGTTGCCATGCGTCACTCGGACTACGGACGTGAAGAGGAGAACGGCGTCGCGCTACTTACTCATACATGATCCGGGATCGAAGGGAACTGGAAGTGGCTGGGACACTGCTGCGTCGTCGAGTTCAGTATCGCTTTCTCACGTCCGCTGAACTGAACGTTCCTGGGACTGGTGCGTTTATTCGCTGCTTGGCTGCTCCAGTAGCAAAGTCTGCCTCGACCAATCGAGTGCTAATCTTCGTCATATAGACTACTGTCGCCGGGACGATGACTGTCGTAAGTCACTTTTTTTTTAAATTGAGAAGTCGGCAACAAGGACATAAGACGAAATCAGGTTACACAGGATGGTGTAAACTAGAGATCACTGGGAGATTCGTCCTGTGGTGGACATAAGTATAGACGTTTTTTTTTTTGTGTGTGTGGGCGCTACCATCTTGGTAGCGGGCTGCCCTTTTCTGGTCTGGCAACCCATCTGGCATGCGGGAAGCTCGCTGTTTGCATAGAATGGAAGCGTGCGGCTACAGTATTATTGTTTGTTTTAGTTTTTACGCAGTGGATTTCGACTGACGTGATGCAGGTTCTTTAGAAAATGAGTCTATGAGACGTTCCGACAATTTTCAAGTCGTTGGGGTCAATTGTTTTATTCTGCGGTGCAGTGAACCTCTGTGTATGCAGTATATTCAGAGCACCGACTTTGTGCTCGAACAATGTGCAGTATTTTCATGTAATTTTTTATTTTCCAGAATGAGCAACAACACTTCGAGGGCATAGTGAATATATTTGTTCAGCTGTAGTCATATCCGCTTTTTTACAAGCTTTCTTTACGCCACGCCGTTTCATCGCCCCGCCGTGGTGGTCTAGTGGCTAAGGTACTCGGCTGCTGACCTGCAGGTCGCGGTATCGAATCCCGGCTGCAGCCGCTGCATTTTGGATGGAGGCGAAAATGCTGTAAGCCCGTGTACTCCGAATTGGGTGCACGCTAAAGAACCCGATGTGGTCAAAATTTCCGGAGCCCTCCACTACGGCGTCTCTCATAATCATATGGTGGTTTTGGGGCGTTAACCGCCACATATCAATCAATCATCAAACGCCGTTGCATCGGATGCCGCTCTTGCAGAAAGCCGTGCGTTGGAATGTAATGGTTCGTCTTTATTTCGTGGCACTGACGGTTTTTGTTAACTGCACACCAACTGTTGTATAAAATGTTACTCAACTCTGAAGGAGTGACTGTATTTTTACTCGCTCGTTCATTTTTACTGGTGTGCACTTGAAATACAGCTCTTACATCAAACGACGCTGATGTGCCTGCGCCTCCTCCTTTTATCTTCTTTTTTTAATCGCGATATTTCAGTGACTCTCAGTGCCGCGGTACTTTGACCTGTGGTAGAGAGAAATGTTACGTGGGGCTATTTATCGGGAAAATATTGTCAGCATTGGAATAGCTTTAGGCTTCGTACCTTTGTTTCATAGCCGAAGTTGATCATCAGTGTCGAAGTCGTTGCGGTTCATTCAACTGAGAAGAAGTGCTCTGAACATACCCGAGTACCCGCGGAAGGTATAAAGTTTTTCCTGTTTAGGTTTGTAAGCCGTAGAAGCCGCAGTTACTCAACAACAAGAAAATGATGCAACTTCAAGAGTCCACAGCCACCATAACTCCGCGTCTGATGATGCACATGGCATATTTCTTCCGACAGCAGTTTCCCTTTTTTTGTGGTTGTTACTGCGGCCGAAAACAGCGCAGTGATTCCCTGATGACCAATGCTTGGCCTTCATAGTAATGAACAAAATAAAATGCGTAGGTTGGCTTAACACACGGCAAATTGCTCGATAACGCCACATGTTCCAGCATCCATACACACACTCCCCGCCGTCGCCCGCATGCCAGAGAAAAGGAATGCGTTTGTTGCCAGACCAGACCTCCTCGCCCGATGCAAAGGTCGTGAATGAGTTGATGACGATGACGATTACGGCGATGGCGGCGGCGCTTAATCAGCGCCATTTGTTCATCCCCCGTCTCGTCATGAGGAAGGGTGCCCTTCGATTTTTTTTTCCCTCGGTATTTACAGAATCTTGCGAAGCCTGCTCCCCCGTTTACTCAAACGTGCACTTGCTGTAAACATGCGCTATTTATAGAGAGATGATACCAAATGCCACACGCAGGCCTCCTTGACAAACTGTATGTGCATCGCTATAAACTAACGCACGTGACCCTCACTCATTCCTCGATCTTGTTTCAAGCGAGATCGGTGTCCTATTACGCCGTGCGCGCATATACACTGTGAACGAAAAGCGCATCCATCCAGTTTTTTGTTGACGTGAATACACCGTCCAAGTACCTGCACTTTGTGAACCTTTTGTGAAACCTGCTGCTGACTCAAAGGTCGCGGGTTCGATGCCGGCCGCGGCGGTTGCATTTCGACAGAAGCGAAAGGGCTGAGGCCCGTGCGCTGTGCGATTTGCGTTGCACATTAAAGAACACCGGATGTTCAAAATTTGCCGGAGCCGCCCACGATATGGCGTCTCTTAAGATCATGTCATGGTTTTGAGACGTAAAATGCACATATTATTATCAGTTGCCGGGCACGGTAGTCGCGATTTCATGGAGGAACAGTGCGAAAAACGCCTGTGCGCTCAGAATTTTGTGTGTATTGAAGCCTACATACAGGCAGTATGTGAGGAATTATTGGTCAGCTGGCAGCTCATAATATGACGCGCCGCGCACGCGACTCCAACAGGCAGGAAAAGTGTTTCACACTCGCCATCGTGGCTACTGGAGGCGTTGACACACACTTGCAGGTTTGAATACACATATACACCCCAAAGGTAGACGCGAGAGGATGACGACCGTGGAACCTGAGTTCGTAGAGCATCGGACGCGTTACTTGAGGGTCACAGGTTCTGTCCCTTATATTTTCATCCACTTTTCTTTGTTCAGATTCACTTTACAAGTACTAGTATACCTTTAATGTCCCCTCTGCTTTTCTTGACATCATTGTCTGTTAGTTATCGTTAATACTGTGTCTAACAAAAAAAAAATGAAGAAGCCCTAAGTTTCCACTTCTCTCCTTCACGTGAACATTGAAGTACCTCGTAGTGTCAGACTTAATTCAGAGAACCCCAATATCGCACGCCTCGCAATCGTACCCTGGTTTTCGCACCAAAACCAAATATGTATCAGCGCGCAGTTTCAGCGCGTCCTACATGTGCTTCCTCGATTTCGCACCAGTGGAAGCTGACAGAGAACGCATTAACGGCGAAAACACACAAACTCGCCCACACACGCGGGTAGAAAACAGAAGTCAGTCAACTAAGGCAAGCACCGACCGTAAACTTGAAAAGTGATAAGGTCCAAAAGAATAAAAAAGAAGACACGCAACACGCGCGAGCACTGAGCAAGAGTGACGTGTAAATATTCTGTCACGAAGGCGTGGCCGCCATCCCGTCAGTCACAGAGATGTGCTCTAGCAAGTTCGCAGCGCGCACATGAACTTGACTGTTTCGTTTCTCTTGTTTTCTGTTTTATTTTCTAAGCGTCAATCCTTGCGATACGACCGTGTTCGGCGTTTCGTTGCCTATAAAACACAGATGCTCATAAGCCGCCATAGCGCTTGATTGTTGGAATATGATATCATAAACACATCACTACTCATGGATCATCGACATTCCAACGAAAACTGACGTGGCGCTCCTTGGCCAGGTTTGGCCCTTGCGCCACAAAACACCACTACAACATCATTGTTGGAATATGCGCTCCAACTCAAACGCGACTTGGATGATATGTGAGACGGGTGTGCTTTCTGTCCCCTCTCCGGTGGACTCTTGGAAAGAATGCAAAAATGTTTAGTTTTTTTTTTTCGGCAGGAAATTACTCTCTTATTACCTGCAGCCCCAGCCGCAGGGAATGACAGGCACGACATAGCACTGGGGCGGCAGGACTGAAGGAGGTTTATTGCATGCGTACACATATGAGTAATGTCTGAAAAATTTTTCGTCACATGTATATAATCTAAAAAAACACGATGGGACAAACAGGCTTTTAAAGTCATCAGAGAATAAAACATGCGCCATCTGTTTAAGGTATTCCCATTAGCGACTCAGATTTTAAGGCAAAGCTTTATAAAAGTGTCGTTAACCCCGATACATTGATTATTTAAAATAATCACGAGATGGGCAGGCATAAGCTTAGTAAACTTAAAATGCGTGAATTGCATATAGACATAAAGGAGGTATTGGGAGAACTATACTGCGAGAAGTTAATTCTGAGACGGCCCGTTGGAGCCAACTAAGTGCCATTGCGTCGATATTCATGTGTACGATTTGAAAAATTGTTGAATTATGGGGTTTTACCTGTCAGAACTGTGAGAAGCCATACTGAGCTAGGGAACTCATTGATTTTGACCACCTGCATTATCTTTCGGAACGTTCACCGAGATCTAGGTATTCAGGAGCAGTATACGCTTTTGCATATTCGTGGTTGATGGTAATTTGCGCAAAAAAAAAAAATGCGGACCCGAATAAAGAGAACATGGACAGGCGCAGTGTTTTTTTGCACAAATTCCCCTCCACAATGCAATACCAACTCGCCCAACACTTGGTTATTCTTGAACATCAAGTATTCAAGAATGTATACGCTTTGAATACTAGCTTAACGTATGCTATATGGTTGTGCACGCATGCATCTAACGTATAGTGCCGGTCTACCAACCTGGAATGACTACCTGATTGGGTATATTCGTAATCTTCCTCTTCTTCTCAGGCGAGCAACGAGGAGCACTGCCACTCTCCGGACGGTGTCGAGGTGGACCACCTGGCGCGTAAGAAGCTCATCTTCGCCAGCGTCCTGTGCCTCCTCTTTATGATCCTCGAAATCGTGGGTGAGTCGAACTGCTGAAGCGAGGAAAGCGCGGTAGTTACTGCGAAGTCAGGGAGCCGGGTGAACGATTATGCATATTTTAGCGCCGTTGTACACTCGCGTAGGAGAAACAGGGAGAATTAGGGACAGCCGCTGTATTCTCTCTCTTAATTATGTGAGCAGAAAGGCGCGACACGTATACTCTTTCCCAACCAGCGGACGCATCAGTAACATTACGCCTAACGATTTGGTCACACAGGCCACAAGGTGGCTCCCTAATGCGTCTTCGAATTGGATACGATACATGCGCCGCACCATCCAGCCCTAAAAATAAAGTTTCGAGTTAGCGCATGCACCCTCAACTGTGTTCCTCATTTATGGGCGTGCATCGCGAAAATGATTCCTTAAGAGAACGCCAGCTTGCTCAGTAAACTTTAATTCTGCAGCGAACAGTCAATGGGATCAATGAGAATTTCAATGTAACACTGGTGTCCCAAGGCTTGACTCAGTGTAGGCTGTTCAGGTGTCAGCAGCCACCTTTTTTTTTTCATTGTAATGAGAGAATTTATTGGAACACCTTCTAATTTTTACGCTTCGTTAGCATAGGAGCTCAAACATACATTTACAAAGAATGATGTCATATTTCTTTTTGTGATGTGTCAGAGTTAAGTTGCTTGTATTAAACACGTGATGAAACATGCTCCCTTCCCGGTGACTTTCACCGGAAAGGCCCAATCTAGGAGTAAACATTTTACGTTAGAAACTATGTATAGGATGCGTTAAAGTGAAAAGGTGGTCAGGTTGATTCCGATTCGAGATGTTGAACAGCGCGAATCACAACAGACGGTTGACAGGAGAGCTAGACAGACGCTGACTCAACTGAATTCAATCAACTACCATGATAAAGTAAGTACAGTAACACTAGTCATGTGCGCTGTTCAACGTCGGTACAAGGAGCTGTATTAGGCTGTACTTGCACGTTTAGTATTAAGGCCTGTTATGATGTCAAACCTAGTAATGTTTTGTATTCTGGCCAGAAATGCATTGAAACAGATATTTCCGAATGTGTTCTGTACGAGTGTACAAGTCTGACGTTTTTTTTTTCGATATGTTCAGCACATAATGTGCCGTTTGATGGTTGCACAACTCTCTCTTCAGCCTGTACATTCATGGGTGTTATCGTTGCGTGCATCTATACCATAATTGTACTAAGAATCTACATGTTTTTACCGGGCTCTTGTTTTACTGTATTTAGTTTAATACAGCTCAATTCAATTCAACTTCGAGAAACTTGGATGCTGATTAATAGAGCTAACTAACCAGTTAGAACACAGTGCCTCGTCCGGGCTAAACATTCCTCTGTTCCCACAGGTGGTCTTTTGGCCAACAGCTTGGCGGTGGCTACCGACTGCGGCGCATCTGCTCACCGACTTTGCCAGCTTCATGATCAGCCTCTTCTCCATCTGGCTGGCCCACCGGCCACCCACCAAGCGAATGAGCTTCGGCTGGTATCGAGCGGGTGCGTGTACTACCGAGAGTATTTCTTTTGTCGTTAGTTTTCTATGGCGAACGCCTTTTCGACAGCTAACGCGACGATTTCGAATGGGTGTTCTACATAAATTTCTTTGTGATTTGACTCAATGCACATGCGAAGTCCACGTAGTATACATATATATTGCTCCCACCCAATGAACGATGCAAGGAGTGTGAGCCTTCGGCAGTGGAGTATAGCCAGGGGGGTAGAACACCAAACCAGGACCACCCTCCCCCCCTCCCCCCATTTTTTTGCCATATCATACAGCGGGGAAAAGGACTATTTCAAAAAGGTTGGTGTGACACTATTCATAAAAAAACGGCGCCAAAAACAGAGGACGAGAAAAATACAGAGACAGGCAGCAGCTCTGAGTCACAACATGATTATTTGCTGAAACGGTGCGATATATACTTGAACAGTATCTGACAAATCTATGAGGAACGACAAAACAAAAAAAGCAGAATTCACATAAGACCATGTAATCATCGTTATAGCAGGCCATGAAAATCACCTGTGCCCGCGTTATGAAGAAAATTCATTTCTTTTTGTGATAGAGCGGTCCAAGGTCTGCTGACATACATTAAATGTACGAAATGTACAGAAGATAAGCGAAATTTATGAGGCCGCAGAAATTACAAGGCGGGGCCTTGTATGTGGCCTTGCTCGCGAGCGTATCGTTCTGACGGCATTAATTTTGAGCGGCATAACCAGGGAGTGGCTTACCGGGTCCGTACGCTCTTTTCCAATTTTTAGTATTTTTTTTTTGCCGTGGCAAAAGTCGTCTTCCTTATATAAGGCACAAGACCAAATCTATCTACCCGACCCCACTCTGTCCCACCCCACACAATATTATATATATATATATTATATATATATATATATATATATATATATATATATATATATATATATATATATATATATATATATATATATATATATATATATATATATATATATATATATATATATATTCCTGCTCACGGCTGGTTATTTTTTCACCCACTTTTCTTTGTTCTGATCTACATTCCATTTGTTCTAATAACTTCCCCTGTACGTTCCTTGGCATTATTGTATGTTAGATCTCATTAATATTGTGTCAAAACACGGAAAAACGAAGATATACATTTCTTTCCCTTAAATATATATATATATATATATATATATATATATATATATATATATATAGAAAAAAAAGAGAGCGTGTGGTCGTAAATTAAAAAAAAATGACGTAGAGCTTCAGCTTAAAGCCAAATGAACGTTACAGATCTGCCACGACTTGCTATACGTCGCCGTCTTCGTAATCTTGTCCATTGCTTTGTGCGTCGCAGAGGTGATCGGTGCGGTGACGTCGGTGCTGCTCATCTGGGTGGTGACCGGCATTCTCGTCTACATGGCCGTCCAGCGGATAGTCCAGCAGGAGTACGAGATAAACGCCACCATCATGCTCATCACTGCCGGCATCGGGATACTCGTCAACATCATGTGAGTCGGACCACCCGCGATGGCGTGCCGTGCAGCGCATGCGCGTATCTAGGGTGTCCGGATGTCTGGTTAGCTCGAGCAGCTGACGGCATCAAAGAATCAAAGGAAGAAATACCGCAAAATGGGCTTTGTGCGCTGGGGCAAGGAAAGAAAACAAAAAAAGAGCCCTTGTACTGTCGGGAAAATTAGGGGCACACGAGCTTGACGTCAGAGTGTCCAACGGTCTTTCTTTTTCTTTCATTGCGATAGCAGTTATATCCACACTCTCGGTTGGATTGTGCTGCCGGCGTCAGCGTCGCAGTCACTCACCGTATATGTATACGTATCTATATATATATATATATATTAAAACGTAACAACAAAAAATAATGCAGAGAAAGACACTCTGCTCGGCTACGGAGAAAGGCACTCGGCTACTGACTCGTAGGTCGCGGGATCGAATAGCGGCTCTGCATTTTTGATGGATGCGAGAATGCTCCAGTCTGGAGGCCCCTGTGCTCAGAATTGTGTGCACGTTAAAGAACTCCAGGAGGTCGAAATTTCTGGAGCCCTCCACTGCGGCGTCTCGGATAATCATATGGCGGTTCTGGGACGTTCTTCAACCCCAAATAATATTATTGCAGTTTATCACCAAATAGATAATGTTGCCTTCTAATCACACGATCTCCCCATGCCCTTTTATCTCTCTTGATTTAAACTATGCTCACCTGAACGCGTGCAGAATAATATGTCTGGCAATATACGACGCTTGTCTGCGGCTGCCCCGGAGATAAAGAAATATGCCGGCTAAACAGATGCCGATTGTATGCATGCTGAGCGTCAAGGCCACGTCCTTCTAACGACAGCATAACAATGTGACCTCCTGACACGCTGCACCGTCAAACAAAATGTAAATAGAGGAGAACGCAACGTGTGCCCCCCAGTCGCGACCCGTTGAAGGTGACGCTGAAAGAATTCTGGTGTATCTGCTTCTTTTTTTTTACTGTCACGTCACTGAAGCAATCAAGCGCCGTCTTATGGGCTATTTATTTATTTATTTATTTATTTATTTACACTGCTATAGCACTGTTGGGCTGTGGCAGGAGTGTACAAATAGACAACACAATGACATTCACTTCCGGTCGAGCAATCGAGCAGTTCTGCTCGAATGCTTTGACACCGTCCTCGCACTCCTTCGACCATGTCCCAATCTTTTTCCTTCTTAATCTTTACTTCTCACTCTATCCCTTTTATTCTCTCCTTACCCCTTTACCTGGCGAGCTACTGCTGAGGTGCCGCACTTAGCTGCAGACAGTTGCGAAGCTCACTTTTATCTTTTTCTCTCCGATTTTGTAATTACTACCCCGCCCCTGATTCTTTCGAATGAAACCGATTTCTTAAGTGCTTATTTTTTAAAAAGCGACTCTTGCTTGGGATGCTTGAACGCTGAAATTTGTCTGTCTGCCTGCCTGTCTGTCACACGATTGAGCCACCCGGCGAAAGTCGAAGCCTAGCTCAACGCCCAGCCATCTTTAACTGGCGGTTGCGTTGATACTTGTGAACATCTTCGATTAAAAAGCAAATATTACGCATATATGCAGCGCAACATCATTAAGTGAATATTAGATGGTGTCTTTCTTTACATGAAAATGTATATAAACGTAAGTCTAAAGACCCCAGTGCTTCTTTGGCTGCGTTGTAAATGCGACGCTATGCACAAAAAAGCCCTCTGCCGACGATACGGTGCTTCCACCTAATAGTAGCCCTAGGTTCTGCACAAACTCATGTTTCCCGACGGCACTGCAGGATGGCGTCCATATCTCACGCAGCGCCTCCTCTATTTTATCATATACCAGCCAGATACGACCCATCCAACATAGAGGAGGTGCTGTCTGAGACAAGGCAAAACATAGTAGTATGGATGGCAGAAGGCTATCTTCTTTCGACCACATTCGCTGAGAAGCACGCGGATACGCGGCCCAAATATTTTTTTTCCTGTTTTTTTCTGCCCATGTGGCTGCCAGACAGAACACTGTATAACAACATGGCTCAGTCGTGTCGTGAAAGGAAACATCTCCTCTACTACGTTGTAAAAGTACATCAGTGACCTTATTACGCGGCAGCCAAGATCGAAGATACATGTAACTCACTTCCAGCCTGGTACTATACCGTATACTTGTGTGCGCATTATGTATACCCTTCGGTCGCCTCACTGTCTATTCCGGCCGTAATCCATTTCATTTGGTTACCGATCAATGCGTGCGCAGCGCATTTTGATCACACAGCAGCGCGAATGTCGCGTGACCTAAAATTGACACACCGAAGCATGGTGAGACAATGCTGCGAAATACGCGCTGTAAGTTTGCAACGTGCATGATACTCTCAACGAGCATGCAAGTATACCTCAGAAAGGAGTATTAAGAACATTTTACTCTGGCTTCTTGCACAGGGAACAAGTTTCACTCCCTTCGGGCGTAAAAACACACTCTGCATTGGTAACTTGGCTCCCGGATTCCTGTAACACCCTCCCCCGTGTTTTGGTGGTGCGAGAAGCGAGTCGACACTCTCGTTTCTCTTCCACGCATTTCCAGTCGAACATTCACTTCCGATTTTCCAAATATTCAGAAAATTTGTTTTAGAAAGATAACGCTGGCGTGAAGTCGATGATTATTGTTCAGGTTAAAGAGTTAACTCAGATACATATTGCATCACAGTATATGTTGACTGAATGTAAAGGTTACTGACCTGACAGGATGAATAATGAGAATCAACAGAAGGGAGTTAGTTCATTGAAGGAGCACAAGGTGAGCCGCTGGAATTGTTGCGGCCCCTGGAGGAATAAATCTCAACCACGCTCTCCTTTCTACACCTCTGAGATACCCTAAGTGGTGCGACAAAACTCAAGCAATACATCAGAGTACATGAACGTTGAGGTGCTATAGAGTGGTTCTGTTGTACACGTTAGTAAAGAACGAGGATCACCACCAAGTCTTTTTTGTGTTTTTTTTCTAGCGCATACTCTCCATGGGTGAAATTATGAACATAAAGTTTCGCCACATCGTTAAATTATGTTGTGGTGGCATCCTGAACTAATCTGAGAGGTTGCACGCCAAAACCCTCTGGGTCATTGAACGCTGGCAGGACAACGAATTCATCGATACCCAGAATAGCATGTGCGACTTCCTTAAAATTGTCACGGGATGAAATCATCAGAGTTGCCGAACAGGGAGAAACAGTAGGCTATCGTTCCGTGCATAGAGTTTCCTATATACACTAGAAGGAACTCTGGCGTTAGAGTGCATGGGAGCTGCAACACACTGCACTTAATCCAGCATGACCATGCAGCGTATGAATGATGGGTAGTACACAAATTTTTCAAATTTTTCAAATTTTTGTTCTTTCGGCTCTCTTTGGTTTGGTGTGGCTTGGAGCCGTTTTGTCACAAGACAACAATCAACAAATGTTCAGCAGTTGCACTCCACCACCTAGTCTTTTTTTTTTTAGGCTCAAGAAATTAGTTTGGCTCTCGATGTTCACGATGGTCCAGTTTTTTATCTAAAACGAGCCAAAACACAACAATAAACAAAGCCACCAGTGCGTTCACGGCCAAATTTGTTTACCACCCCCCATTCCCACGGTGGCTGAACAATTGCGTCGTCAGGGTCCACTTTAGTTAATTTTAGGAAACTTTACGATTTCGCGGGCCGAAAGAGCCGCTCACTGCGTGAGGTGCTACCCTGAGGCGCAGGGTGGGTGACATTTAGCCAGAAATATCGCATGGGCTCCCGACGTATTCGTCTAATGGCGAATTCCACAGGTATATCCGCAGTGGCCGCCGAAATCTTGGAGCGAGCAATCGCAGTGTGCCGAAGGAGATCTGCGAGTGGAACACGTGAATTCCCGCGCGTGAGGTCTCTCCGGAAGTTTTTTGCGCATACGTCACTAAACCGGTACCGGAAACGATTTTGTTTTCTGCTCTCGACGTTTCAGTGACAACCGTGTCGCCACCGCAAAGCACGCATTTCGACCACGCAGTCTCGCGGAAAGCAGGGTCTACCGCTTTTCACTTTTAGGAACGTAAACAAAAGCACAGGGTTACTAGACCACCTCAAAAAACGCTGAGGGCAACCCAACTGCCCAACTGTACCGGAAATGACGGCAACGCATTCTCGGAGTTCCGGCAAAATCCGTCTCTGCGAGACGGACCACGCGGAACGCTCCTTCGAGGAGTGGATTACTCCGAATTTACCAGTGGAAAATGCGAACTTGCTCCGAACTTACCAGCGAAACGCGGGTTGTCAGCTTTGCAGCAAGAAAACTTGCTCCCGCTCGACGAGTGGAATTCGCCATAAAACGACACCGATGCTAGAACCGTCTCCTCCATTTTCCCTTCTCAGTGTAGTACACATAATGATACTCCGACTGCCTTCTTCGAAAGCTGTCAGCAACACACCTGGTCTTGCACTGCGTCCGTGATTGCCTCACTTTTGGCTTAGTGACGATTTCATGAGATTCCATCGTCACGTCTCGTCGCGTTGTGTGCCGCCAGAGCGATGTCGCACGTCATATTATGTGGCGCCTGAGGGACGCCTTGAGGACGCCAAAAGGTTTGGTCATACGTGATGTCATGTTGAAGTCGTATCGTGGCGTCATCCTGTGATTATTATTTTTTTTTCATCAGTCGTATCGACGCTGATAGTGAATTTCAGCGTTTGTCTTCAGCCTTCGCTTTAGTGAAGTGGGCGCACCCACTTCCGTCCACTTAACAGTGTATGTATACATCGCTAAGCCACAGCTTTTCTCGACGCAGAATGGGCGTGGCGCTGCAAGTGGGCGGCGTGCCACACGGCCACTCGCACGGCGTGCACCACGCAGGTGACGACGAAGACGCGCACCTGAAGGACACCTCCAACGGAGTCGCGGTCATCGAGAACGGCGGCTCGCGTCCCCACAGCGGCAGGGCGCGCGGCTCGGGCAACATCAACGTCCGCGCGGCGCTCATCCACGTCATCGGCGACTTCCTGCAGAGCCTTGGAGTCTTCGTGGCTGCACTCATTATCTTCTTCAGGGTAAGGCGCCAGAATTATGTGAGCCTAGGACAATCATAAGCACATTATTAGCCAAAATGAGTGATACGTACAGTGCAGGGACGTAGAACTTTTTTTTTTCGGAAAAGGAGGGCAACTCCTTGATTTCGGGAGGAAAAGGGGGAGGGGGGTACCCTCTCAAAATAGTCATTTTGAGAAGGTCCATTAGCCAACCGCATGCTACAGCGAAAATATGTCATTGTGGGAAGGGGGGAGGCGTCGGCTTTGTGTGCCGCCCCCTGGCTATACCACTGTTACAGGAAGCTTCCTGTCGGGAGGAGAAAGGTAGCCCCTTCACAGCTACAGTTGCAGCAGCGTGGCTTGCTACATTTACTGCCAATAAATCAAGGTTGCCTTCCGTTGCTACAAGCACAGTCTTCAATATGCCTCAGAGTCAAAGGATATATTGTCTCCTGAAGTTTTAACAACGTTTGTTTTAAAGATGATAGTCTTTTTGGGGACCTTCGACGTAAATATTTTGGTCTGTTGGTACATTTGTCTGTTTGTCCGCCCTTGAAAATACTTTAAACGGCACCAAACAATACCCCAAACGGCCGACCCCATCCGCAGCGCTCATAAATATTGCTCAAGGCTCCGCGTTCATATTTGTGCGATTGTCAATTAAAAAGCAATTATTGCGCATATCTGAGGCACCATAACTACACGTGTCAATATTCTGTATGTATGACTTTTTACTAGAAAAAGGCACATATAAGTGATTCTAAGAACCATAGCGCTTATCACGCTGCGCTGACCATGTACCACTTGCACGAAAAGGCGAGTGTTTCCAGCGCTTTGCTAAGACGACATGGTGGTGGCACCTACCCGTCGCCTTGCGTTCTACACCTTTTCGCCTCCGATACGGGCGCACACGCCACGTGCTTTGTTTTCAAAGATGACGTCCAGATAGCGCTCATGTCTCACGTGTTACGTGACTTGATGCGCTTGTTCACCTCCGCTGCACGCACGAGGCACTCTAACGCAGCGTCTCCAGAATACTATTCACCAATTTTCTTGCGCAGAACATCAAATAAACATTTCCTTTACTTTCTCCAGACGCAAGGCTACCGTTTTTCGACGACATTTGCAGTGTAACATGAAAATACGGGGCCCTTTGTTTTTACAGTTACTGTTTGTCAAGTGGATTTGTAGCTCTTTATTACTGCAGAAACAGGCATAATTGTGTCACCATTGCAAGACATATAGCATTTTCATAAATAGCTGAGCCGAAGAAATTTATGTGAGAACTAGACTTATCAGAGCTCTCCGCCCCTGTTTTAACAGGGGAACTGTTTCAACCGACCGTTAGTCCATGCAGGGCGAACAGAAAGCTATCATCATCATGAATTAGCCCATGCTCTCTTCTTTCTGTTCATGCCTTGCTTCGCTACCGAAACACGTGCGCCGATTATTCCGGCGTGGAATGCAATAACTATGATGGGGGAGGGAACGAACACAAAGTGAGAGAGAGGAGAAAAATAGAAGGCTATATGAAGAATCAAACAGAAAAAAAAATATAAAAACAGCAATATAGAGAAAGAAAGAGAGGAAGAGGAAGCGAGAAATAGACAGACAGATAGTATAAGAGAAAGAGAAAACAGAGAGAGATAAATGAAAAGAAAAAAATAGATGAAGCAAAAAAAATGGGAAAAGAGCGAAATACAAATATAAACAAACAATACAAAAAAAGACAGGAAGAGAGAAGAGAAACAAGAGAGGCCGCCAGGCATGGCAGCACAAGTGTGAAGTTCGTAATTTGTCATTTTTTTCTCGCTTTTTCTTTCGACGATAAAATGTATTAATTTCACGCAATTTCATGTGTTTGCTGGAGGGGTGATGGAATAACGTTGCCATTGCCGCGTAAAATGTTAGTGTTTACATTAAATATTGCGGTAGCTAGAATATTACCGTAACGAGTATTGAAAAAGTGGCGAGTGACAGTTGAGTTACCTGAGACCTCGTCACCAATAAGATTTATTAGGTGCCTCGGAAAGTATGCGGGAGGGAGGGCGTGAGGTGCAGTGATCTTGAGTCCCACAGTATTCTTAACTACGCCCCCCTCCCCCCCCTTTTTTTTTTCTCTCCATAGTTTTGTAAGACGCAGCTTGCATTACGCTTATACAGGGCAGATCCCATGCGCCAGCTGTGTGGTCGCTTCACAAAGTGGCGTCACCGACTTGAGCTGAGCGTCAGAATAGTCACATATATGCATTTACCCGTTAGTGGACCGTTGCCACTCGTTAGCGAGCCACGAAAATGCATTTAAACTTTATGCCGTTCTATATTGTGAGCATGCACCTTTTTCATTGTGTATACGTTATGTTCTTACAGTGAACAGGCAATACTTGTTTTAACTCTTCTATGGTATCAAACTCACTTTCCCGAAAAAGAACTGGTCGTTTGTGTACCTAATAGGCCTGTGTACCTAATAGGCCTGTACTTAAAACAATCAAAGATTTTACGCGTGCTCATGATCAATCCGTACTTGACAGACTGTGGGAACTTGTTGACAATATTTCTGATACTGATCCACGAACGCTTTGGGAAACATTCAAGAAAACTGTGAAGGACTGTATTGACAAGCACGTTCCCTTACGCCGCATCAAATCACGGCGCAAAAGTCCCTGGATTGATCGGAACGTAATACACTTAAAAAGAAGACTAAAACGCGCAAGAAAAAAAAAAAAACAGGTCGTAAGTGTTCAGCAGATACAGACGCTGCAGACTGAGCTCTCCACAGCTCTGGCAACTTCTAGAGACAAATATTTTGGAATAACGCTGCCAAACTTAATCAAAGAAAGCCCGAAAAAATTTTGGCGTTATCTAGCCTCCAAAAGTGGTAAACTAGAACAAATCCAACATAATGATTCTCTTATTACCGATGCCCATTTAGTGGCCGACAAGGCAAACGAGTAGTTCCATTCAGTATTTTCCGCACCGCACGATGACAGTTATCCTTTGGTTCCAACAGCCTGCCCTCCTGAAGATTTTATATGTCAAAACGGCGTGTTATCACTGTTGGTCAGTGTACGAGACATGTCATCTAGTGGACCAGATGGCATACCCAACGCATTCTTGCGCAGATACGCCGAAACAATATCTCACATTTTAACTGAAATTTTTCGTTTGTCCTTAGCGTCTGCCTTTTTGCCTTATGACTGGCTAATTGCTCGCATATTGGCCACACACAAGAAGGGCAATCGATTACGGATAGAAAACTACCGCCCGATCTCTTTAACGTCTACATGCTGTAAATTGATGGAGCACATTGTTGCTCACTACATAACAGACTTTCTTGAACGTAACGGCTTACTTTCCGAATTTCAGCACGGTTTCCGTAAAGGGCTATCGACGCACACACAGCTGATAGCTACGGTGCACGAAATTGCCTCTGCCCTTGATTCGGTCCGCCAGATTGACTTAGTATTCCTCGACCTCAGCAAAGCATTCGATCGTGTTACTCATGGTAAGCTTATAGGCAAACTGCTAAAGATTGGTATACCCGATTTGCTTGTTAACTGGATTAAATCTTACCTTTCCAACAGGACTCAATATGTGGAGATCTCTGGGTGCTCGTCAGGCGCATTACCTGTCTTATCGGGTGTTCCACAGGGAAGCGTCTTGGGCCCAATTCTCTTTTTAATTTATGTAAATGATATAACTTCAATTGTCTCGTCTGATGTTCAAATACGATTATTTGCAGATGATTGCATAATTTTTAGAAAAATTACATGTACTGAGGATCAAATATTCCTAAATGACAGCTTGACACGTGTTGGCCAATGGTGCACGTCGTGGTCCATGAAGTTAAACTCGGACAAGACTGTTCTACTGCGAACCACAAATAAAAGAGAGCCGCTTAAGTTTTCTTACTGTATCGATGGAGTGACTGTTAAAGAAAACCCGGAATACAAATATCTAGGGGTGACAATTACCAATACGTTATCGTGGTCTAAGCACATTGAAAATACCTGCGCAGCTGCCATGCGCAGGCTTGGGTTCATAAGGCACAAACTTAAAGCTGCCCCTACAGAAGCAAAACTGTTGGCTTATAAGACCTTAGTGTTACCTAAGCTTGAATACGCCAACATTGTTTGGGACGCCTTTTCTAAGAAAGACAAGCAAAAGCTAGAAATGGTGCAGCGCCGGGCAGTGCGTTTTATTTTCAACAAGTACAGATCCACTGATTCCCCATCTTCGTTGATGGTGCAAAATGGAATTTCAACTTTAGAGCAGCGACGTAAACTAGCCCGCCTAAAATTTTTGTTTTCGCTTTTTCATGGCCACCTGAAGCTTAACGCAAACCCTTATGTCAAGCCGTTCTTACCTCGAGCATCGAGACATCGCCACTCATACAATCTTCTTCCTTACAAAGCTCGCACAAATCTATTCAAATACTCTTTCTTCCCGCGGACAATTGCGGATTGAAATGCATTACCGAGTTCGGTTTTCTCTGCGCGAACTGCGGCCGCTTTTTCAGCGAAGGTGTTTGCTGCCTTAGAATAATTATCGTCTTTGTTTCAGAGGTTTGCCGACCGATTGCTGGTGCTTTTCTAGTTTTTGTGTAGCTCTCGAACGGTTGAGGATGTTTTAGTCGTGGGTTTTCATTGTTTATTGGGAAAAGTGCGCATTTGTCTGAATGTACGAGCTCTACTGTATAATGGTTTTGTTTGTTTGACCTAGAGACAGTGTAATCGTTGCTACCTTCTAGTTTACAATGAGTTTTGCACTGTGCAACTTTTTTTTCTACCTGAAAATGTGTGTATAAATGTATGTATGTGTGTATTTGTTTATATATCTATACTGTTCGTGTGTATGACCAAAACATGCTAATTGATATGTATTCACCGCTACCATGCGATACATGTAACTTTCCCATCTGCCCTCCTGCTTGGTCCTTATAGGACTGCAGTATGTAATAAAATAAAAAAAATAAGTTTGTCATCTTCTAATTATTGTTTTATTATACTCCTTCCATATCAACCAGCCTATATAGTAAGATCGTGTTTTTTTTTGTTTTATGTTCAACTATTATTTTGCTTTACTATACGTTTAATATTCACCGTTTCTAGTAGTAGCCCACTGATACTAAGCGGTAGGTCATATGCGAGCTTTAGTGCCTCACGGAAGGAAGACAAAGATTCATGCCTGCACGAATAACGCCCAACTGTTTCGCTCGCATGCTTCTGTCCCTGAAAAGCACTTTAGAAGCGCCCGCACGCGTCTTATTACACAAGTGGTGTGTGAAACAGCGGTAATTGGTAATGCATGACAAAGAATTTCGCAGCGGTGGACAACGGACAGAAAAAAATAAAAACGAGAAGAACAGGGATATGCTCTGAGCTCCAATAGATAGTTATGATAAAAAAAACACGCACATATTCAAGCTTGCTTATAGCCACGCGGGCTCCAAATAATCGTCATACCAGTATGCGACATCCAACAGGATCCTGGGATGCGATAGATTCTTTGAGCGCAAGTAGCTGAGAATACTCAAATTATTCTTGCACTTTTTTCTTTCGAGTATCTCAGTTGAAGCCTAGGGCGTTCATGATTGGGGGCCGTTGTTTCCTGCTGCTCTGTTTCAAAACGAAAATGCAGTCAGCCCAGCCTGGTACCTTGTATGTAGGAAAAGGCCTGCACAGAGTTTTTAATGTGTTTTGCCGAAGAGAAAAAAGTGTGAGTGAAGCAGGTAGGGGTCATTTCCGAACTGTCACTCTTACGTCCCACACACTGTCCGTTTTCGCATGGTCTGTATGAATTTAACTTTTTGTAGATACTGCAACCCTAAAGGGTGGATTTAGCAGGGTGGTAACTACAACCGTGAATATTGCCAAGATAAACTATAACGTGAACATTAGCATATATATGGAAGCAAAATACAGTTTTCAGAATAAAAAAATGAGAAAAAGAAAAGGCAAGGTGTATATACGATCGACGAATAAGTAGTCAACAATAGAGACAAAGTACATTTTAAAGTATACATGATATTAAATGTTCCAGAAACTGACTCACGTATGCCGGTCTCGGAAAACATCGGCGCAAATTCTGCACAATTTTAAAACCAGAAGATTACGCAGTTAGACACAAGACAGACATCTGAACCGATGGCTGTGTGGAACATCCTTACCACTGAGGTTGTTCCATTTCCTGACTGTCCTCGGAAAAAACATTAAATAAAACAATCATTGTGCTATTGAAAGTGTGTGATAGGAAAAATCGAGGTGCTTCCTTGTCGGGTACCCGCCGGAGACAATAAGGTATTGCCGCCACAGCGTATAGCGTAAAGCTACACTTATACGCATTCAAGACGGCGTGGTGCTTCTCCCTCCTCGCGTTCGTTTGTCTCCTAACGCAGCGTTTTTAATTTTTCTTCGCGTCAGCACACACATGCGCGTATAAAAAAGGAATACGGAAGACATTTGAGTGCACTTTTGTGCGTATTCTTTAGCGTCTAATGTACTGCCACAATTGTCTCGACAAAGAACATGAGTCGGCGAATGTTGCGTTTAAACTATATACAGCTTGCTCAGAGGGCGCCTTTTTGCTGACTTATTGGCGTATGCAATGTCTTTTGTGTGCAACGTCGTTTTAAACATAGGAACAGGGTACGAACTTTGCGCACGCGAGTTCTGTCTATTGTATACTCGGCCAACTCCGAAACGATGACGCACGCAGTAAAATATGCGCATGTGAAGCGCTTACGCGCACGTCTGCTGCAGCGTATATTTATTAACTACAAATGTTTTTGTGTGATTAACAAACCATTGAGAATAAATAATGATAATATAATTTTTGTCAGCAATAGGCACTAAAGATTCCACAACTATCCATCACTGTTGGGCCAACAACTCTTCATGAATGCCTAGCGAGGGACTGTAACAACGTGTCGATTTGAAGATTGACGTGTTTGTGGATGCATTTTACCCAGCATGAAAATCGGGGCAGTAGGAGTATACTAATGAAATTCGTTGACAATAAACCCCATCCATTGCCACTTTCCTATTACATATGCTTTACTGACCACGCCGATCTACTGTAATTTTCGCACGGCACTTGCCGTTTCTCGAGAACTGTTCTATCCACAGGTACTGAAATATTAAAACAAAAAATTATAAGAAGCTCAATTTGTTTTTATCTTCGAGGGCTTACTCAATCTGCGCTATTTTGATTTTTTTTATTGTAAAGCTCCCGTTCAGTATCTCGGCTATTTTCACTATATGAAGCAACCTGCGTGTTCTAAAATGAACATGCAACTGTTCCTTGACTTTCAATATAAAAGTGGAGGCGTGCAATGGGAAAATCGCCTTTTGGTAAGCTACATACTGACTGTGAAATGCTGGCTTTTTGCTAAATCAGTCACTTCAGAACGGTAACAGACATTGCTTTTTATCACACAGCTGTCCTTCACCGCTCTTCACAGTGCATTGTAAGTGGTGAAAATTATCTGGGCTGTAGATAATTCTGAAACACTGAAAACAAAACTCGGAGGATCTATCCTACATTCACCTAACACGTCTAAGACAAAAACCGCGCCTTTTTTTCCTCCCCAGTCAATGTATAAAGGAGCAGGGAACGCGAGCCATCGATTGACGTGCCACTGCTAAGCGCCGTCTTAATTTTATTCTGTTCAGATTGCGAGCTCTTCAGTATTGTGAACCACCCGAATGAGGGCGCTACAACGGCATCATTAGATGTTACGTAACATGACGTAATCTGGTGAGGTCATTACGTGATTCGTTTTCGTTTTATCACTCGCCCCCGACGCCGCTGTATGGTCACCGCCGATGGTTTGATGAGGCATGTAAGACTTTAGCTCTGTAAGTCGTTAACGACGATTCATTTGCCTGTGTGGACTTCTTAAGAACAGCACGTAAAGTGCCTGATAAAGTTCCAGTTCAATGTGGCGCAGTTAAAATAAAGCACCGTAGGTATAGCTAGATGCCACCGCCAAGAAATGGGATTAAAGTTTCATTGGTCCAACACCACGAATGTTGCTTGCAGGCGCGAACACGGGAAAATAAAAGTTCACATAACAAAAACGCAAAAGTTGCGCCGCTGCATGGCGTTCCTTCATCCGCTGTAATCGCACTGCATATACACCTAGCACCAATAAGCCCTGAACACTCATTTTTGCAATGCGGTCAACTGTTTAAGGAATCATTCTGATATGTGACGATCTCGGTTTGTGATTGGCGCTTTGGCTGCAGGTACTGGTCGATGTCGTCCAACGCGCAGGACTACGGAAGTTTGTCGATGCCCAAGAGCGCCAGCCACCTTCTTCAAAGTCATGCGATTGTTCACTTGCCAATAGACAGAATGTGGCTCCTGTCTTACCTCTGTCACTTGATTCTGTATTCTTTAACAGTGGATCACACCTGCACGTTGGTGCCATTATGAACCATGGCGCATCCGGTCGGAAAAAGAAAGAAAAAGCATCATCTCTCTTTTTCTATAAGTGTCTTCATTTCTTCCTGTCTGTTACGTGCGCTGAAAGTCTCATGAAGCATGAAAAACATTCGCAAAGCCCTAACAGTCGTCTTTCATGTGATGCTTTTTTGTTTTTCTGGCCTAGACGTGCTTACCGACCAACTGTTACAACCAAAGGACACGTTTATTCGCAGCCCGACTATCGCATCGCAGACCCGCTGTGCACTTTCCTGTTTTCGGTGCTGGTGCTGCTGTCGACGATCACGATCCTGCGCGAAGCCCTGACCGTGCTGATGGAAGGCAAGCCGAGCAGCATCGACTTCCGCCAGGTGCTCGCGCTCCTCGCGCAGCAGCCCGGGGTGCACATGGTGCACAACCTGCGCATCTGGGCCCTGTCCATGGACAAAATCGCTCTGTCCGCGCACATTGTCATCCGTGAGTATATGGAGCACACGTGCGTGCCTCGGTCAACAACCAGTGTGGAGCAATTTACGAGTGTTTACAACCTGAAAATGATTACGAGCTCCTCTGTTTCCTCCTCTGTCTCTTCCTATTTACACACAGACAAACACGCGCGCACACACACGCGCGCGCGCCCACACACACATACACACACGCGCTCGCCCACACACACACGCGCTCGCCCACACACACACGCGCTCGCCCACACACACACACGCACCCACACACACACGCGCACCCACACACACACGCGCACCCACACACACACGCGCACCCACACACACGCGCACCCACACACACACGCGCACCCACACACACGCGTGCACCCACACACACACGTGCACCCACACACGCGCCCACACACACACACACACACACACACACACACGCGCGCGCGCGCGCGCGCGCGCGCTCAGGAAGTTTTTTGTGCATCTTCTTCGCGATTGGCCCACTGATCACGAAGGATATGCGAAACAATGTCACGTGATGATGTCACTATATGCCATGTCATGATGACATCATAGTGAAGTCATGGTAACGTAGCAAACGTTCGCCATGTGTGACGCCATTATAACGTTATGTAGTTACGTATTAATGTGACGATTGTGTATTTTGCATTACTCATGTTGACATCAGTGGTGCAGGACGCCGACGATCAATTTACGCGTTCGATGAGACGTCTAAGTCTTGTGCCGTGAATATAATACGCAACCTATACTGCTCACGTTATCAGAAATCACAAATCTGATGTAACTTTCCTGATTGTGACGCCAATTTTACCGTTAATTTACTGAAAATTTTAGAGGCAGCGAGGATGCCATAAAACGCTATTTGGGCGTAAAGCTGGAACGGTGAAGTGGCGCCAAATAGAACTGAACCTGCGAGCGTGGTCGGAGAGCACGTCGTGTCTGTTTTTCTTCCTCTGCTGGCGGGCTCCCACGACAGGTGGCCCATCAGTTCTGTGCTCGATTACGTTAGGACGCCCGAGCAAGTGCAATTTCGAAAACGCGAGAATTCTCGCTCCGGGCAATCGACTATAAAAGCTCCACTACTTTAAGAAAAATCTGATAAGCAATGAGGGCAAATAAGCTATCGCAGTGGCTTAGCCTGTATTTTTACTAAGACTAATGTAGCGGAGTGAACTCGACATTGTGTTGGTGGATGTCATGCAGCGATGAGCAAGGAAGAACAAAAATGGGAAGAAAAATGCAAGGAGATAAATAAATAAATACATAAAAAATAAATAATAAAAATACAAGAAGTTTTCTGTTTAACTACAGTTTATGTTCCACTATAGCTTATATAGTTCCGCTATAGTTTAAGCAAACTTACGAAATCTAACACTGGAAACATACACCTCCTGTGTTACCTTGTTTTGCTTCGCCCGCACGTTGTGATTGGATCAGTAAACATACCAATAGATCACTACCATTTAAACTAACGTGTTACATTGTGAACATTTTGAGCTTCCATTGGAACCGATTCCACAAAACCACCTCCTCTAACTAAATTTATCGGACGTGATTGCGTATGCTTATGCATTTGCGTGAGCTTTGGGTTTCTCCTTTCCTTCAGCGTGCACAAGGTTTTCCATTTATTATTCAAGTGAAAGCACCCTTTTAAGTTTGTGACGTTCTTGCGATGTTGCTGGTTAAGTCTCGAAAACGCACGCTCTGCCAAAAAGACCACGTGAGCCCTTTTCATTATCTGCGGAATGTGGAGTTTTCGGAACCATTCGCGGCAGTATAGCAAAGCTGGTAGCGAAATTCTGGGGCATTTTCTCAAGCTACAATGTTTCGGTAAAACAAAAGTGACGCCTTGATCTTCTTGTCACTGGAAGCCGGGAAAGTTCTGCTGATTGACGACGATCTCATTGTCGAACATAACGTTAGTGAAGTAGAACTGTAGTAGGTCATAGTGAGACATAGCGGGAACTGAACAAAGGTTGGTAAGAAGACGGGACAGGCGCTGCGCTGCGTATTCTCCCTAGGCAGAAGCTGCCGTGCTTAGGAATAAGACTTGTACATTTGCTGGTTACCAATCGCTCCAATTACTAAGCACGAATACCTCAAGTGAATCTTGTAAGCTTGATATGTTTTTTCCCCGCTGTCAGTATTTTTTCTGTGTCTAGTCTACTTCCTACTTCCGCTTTCGTGGATGTACAAGTTGTGTATGGTTTTGTTTTGTTCAGGGGCGCGCGCACGTCGTTGCATTTCCTTGTTCCTTTGTCGGGGCAATGAACCGAGCATAAGGGATAGAATTTATTTTAATAAACGTCAGTTAACAGTAACGGCCCACCCTGCGTCCTCATCCCTGTGGTCAGTTTTTGCTCGTGCTATGCCTGACAGTGAACCTGTGCCAGCTCGCCTAGCACACTATGTTGCATCACTAGTAGATCACTGTAGCGTGTAGTTGTAGTAGTCTGTATTATCAGATTTCGCTGCCAGATCCATAACAGTAAAGTCTCTACAAATAACTTGAGTCAGTGCCCAGGGTTCTCCTCTTGTCTGAGCTTGGCAGCCTTGGTAGTGCAAGTGCCCTCTTTTTGTCCTCGGTCGTGTTTTTTTTTTTTTTTGCTTCAACGACAACACCAGCTTACCTTCACCTGTGCACTGGGAGAGGATGTGCCTGCATCCGTAGTTTCCTGCTGGACTCTGTAGGCGCGCTCCTGCTTTGCTGAGAGGCGGAGGGGGGCAGTTGACGCTACTTTTGTTTTTTTAGGGACTTTGCATTACTGCATCAAGCTTCTCCAACAGCACCGTAAACTGCGGACGGTTTGAGAATGAATGGGCGCATAGCCAGAGAATGCAAAGCAGATGTTGATATCGTCAAAACATATTGAATTGAATAGTTCAAATAGTGTACTAATCTGCCTAATATTTTAATAAATAAAACTACGTGAGTGCAAATGTCACTTCTTTGTTTTGAATTGGAAGCAAATCAAAATAGGATTGTTAAACTAATACGGCAATAGTTGGAACCTTCAAAGCACGCCAAATATCAAAAGTTTCTATATTTACTTCATGTACGCACGCTTATTGCGTTTTTATACTTTGAAAATAAGTAATGAACGTGCAGGTGATTTGTCCGTCTAGCTTGAAAGTGTGGCTTTGCGGCAATGTAGATGAGCCTGTGCAGTTAGTTTTTTTCGCGGCAAATTAGTACTGTGCGGCAGTGAAGCTACCTTGCCAAGCAGCCCACTTGCGGCCAAATACAATTTTGAACAGCTCGAAATTTCGAAGGCGTCTCTCATAATCATATGGTGGTTTTGGGACGTTAAACCCCCCATATCAATCAATCAAAATTTCGAATAGCTTAAATTCACGAAGAAGCAAATTGTAATACTGAAACATGCTTTTTTAAATAGTCGGAGCACTCGAATATTCGCCTGTCTCAAGATATGAGGCTTACAGGGAAACAAAAGACCTCTCTATTTGGCCCTCTCTTCACACGTGCAGGGCCAAACGAGGACGCCATGCAGGTGCTCAAGTCGTGCTCACGCATGATCCGTTCCAATTACGACATCTTCGAACTGACACTTCAGATCGAGGAGTACCACGAGGTTATGGATGACTGCGCCAAGTGCAACGACCTCAGGAACTGAAGGCATGCACTACTACAAGCTACCAAAATCCGGACATTCCTGGATTTCCCCCTAATGCCTCTTTTGCGGGCAGCGATCAAAGATATGTGTCGACGAAGCTAGATGGCAAAGATAGCGCGGCTAGTCGAAGTGCCAGATAAGATGGAAAGTGCGAACTGAAAAGGATGTTCACAAAGTTCAGCGTGGCTAGCGCAGTGTTTAAAAACTTTAACTAATTCTTTTTTTTTCATTGAAGCAATGTTTGATAAATCATCTATGTTATCTCGTTTAATTCTCGCACTCATTCTAGTCTCTACACTGAGTTTAATATCTGAGATAAGCAATAAAGGTTGGCTACACTGAATGGTACTCATCGCGATAACCTGGACGCGGTGATAATAGGTAAACCTGCAAGGCAGCTGGAATGAAACAGAAATGGTGCGCGATGAAAGCTACGTGAGGAACGCGCTAAATGGTGCTCATCGTGTACTTAGAGTTGTTTCGCAAAGCTAAAGTTTTACTAGACATATCAGTCTGTTTTCTCTGTCCTTCTCTTGATAAGCTTTAGTTAAGAAAATGTCTGTTCTTTGTTTTGATCGGGTTTCTCAGGCCAGTGGTGTCACAAACGAAGGCAGTATGCAGAGGCTGTCGCATTAATTTGACACTGCATTTTGTAGCTGTTATAAAATTTTTGATGTGATCGAACGTTGTTTGCCTCGCGCGCGGCGGTTGTGTATGATCATAACAGCTGAGTTTTTATCAGTTGTCCTTTATAGTAATTACGATCAGTGTGCTTCATGGCTTGCCTTGAAAGGTCATCTTAATCGCTTAATCGCGTCAGCGTGTGATAAATCCGAACTGTGTCTCGGTGAGTGTTGACTTGAACTTGCTTGTAAGACACACGAGATCAAGGTGTTGGTTGAGTTTTCCACCCACCTGTACTTACCAAAGACAGTTGAAGTGACTTTGCGTGGCACAACTTGGACAGGTATTTTTTTATATAAAATGAGAGTAAGGCAGTCCGTAGCTTGAGTTAAAGACAAAATTACAAGGTTTTGCCAGCCGTAGAAACTGCCACAGTAGAAACCAGGCTTCGCCGTACGCTACACGCTGCATTGTGGCACCACACAAAAACAACAGTGCAGCTTTGGTCACACAATTCACATCTACCTTTTCTTTCTTTCCAATAAAAAGCAATGCTTAGCGTACTTAATGACCTTGAGCAGTATTGTATTTGTAAGTTTGAATGATAGAAATATTTAGTACACAACAAACACGAGGCGCAAGGCAATTGTAGTCTACAGATAATTACTGTTTTATTATCTGATCTAGCGCGTAAGATGCATAGTAAATGTGGTCACTTCCACCATTGTCGAATTTGTTGCTCGTCGTTCCGTTTGCTGAAAAGTCTGATCCTACCTTTTTCGTGACAATTATTTTTTGTTGTTGTTTTTACGAAGTTCATTTCGTTGTCCGACTACGAATCTGCATTCCTTTCACTAGCTTCTAGAGCTTGTATTGTATAGGCAAGCAGTGTGATATCAAGCCTCCAGACGAGTCCCTCGTCACAATTGATCTCGTATTTCTGCGCTGACCTTGAAAGTAGGGAGTGCTTGTTCACCATTTATATGAACTTTTTATCTCTTTGTAGCACCTGAAATGACGTCACTACTTAGGGCGATGATGCTTTATCGCAGACGTGTAGTTTGTTTCCACATCATGGGCCACTTGAAACCAACAGAAATGGAGCTATATTGTTCGGTACATGCATTATTGTGTGTCTACTGTCAACTTAATAGCGCTGGTTCGCGTACGACTGTCGGCTGTGAGCACGTCGGCCACTGAACTGTGATGGTGCCTTGGACGTTTATTGTTCACTTGTTACGCCACTGCAAATTATTTTAATCAATGCAAGAACATGCCTCTCGTCACTATGCTTCAAAGGCGGCATCTTGTATATATCCGCCATGTTTACATTCTGTATCCTTGTAAATAACTCGATATAAAGGTGTTTTCTTTCATCTTTGTCTGTTGCTTCATTGTAAGCAAATGTACTCATTTAGTTCTTTAAACCGTGAAACTATGACCTCATTGCGGCACAGAAGTGGTCACTCGTCATCTCCATACCAGATGACGAGTTGTGTCAGCTTTTTATTTTTGCTTACTGCAGAAAACGGACTGCTTGTGGAATTCACGTAGCACACATAGCCTCACGTAGGCATTGTAAACTTTTTTTTTTTTGAGCGAAGCTCCTAAAACTCGAGGTAAAATGCCAGCCGCGATCCCCGACGAGAAGAGGCAGTGAGCAAGGGGAAGGCCAATCCACGACGAGAACAGTCCGAGCAGCTGCCGCGCCTAGTTTGTCCACTGCTCGAGCCGATTACGAGCGACAAATGGCCCGCGCTGCTTCTGCCAGGAGTGCCATAACGAGATTTGCACACAATTCTAACGCTGGAGTATTGACAATTCCAGCGTGGCCTGTGGCCTGACACTGTACTTGGTCTACGCCAACAAAATCTCGCAAAAACCGAGAAGGCGACGTTAAACCTTAAGATCAACCAACTTTACTGTTTATTAAGCCTTACGCGGCTACTGTCAAGTTATCCTTTTTTTTTTAACCTGAAAGATCTTTTGCCGGGGTCCCTTATGGCTCTGCTGACGTGCCTCTGTCACGGATATGACGTTACGGTAACATGACCTCTCGCCACGTTGCGCGTGGCACAAAACCACTATAATGCAAAGCGTACCGGGTCTAGCTGGCTAACAGCTTCTCATGTACACCATATACCGCTGGCAGTCCTCAAATCTCAGCAACTTCGGCGTGTTTTTGTGATCAGTAGCTAGATGGCACGAAGGACGTACGTTGGCCACGCTCTAAAGGTCGTTGCCCCGCGCATTGCTATGCGCGCGCGCCTCCGCGGGGCGTGGTTGCTCATGCGCACTATCTCGTGATTCGGGTGCTTTGTACCTCTTGTGCTTCCACCACAAGTTATCTTTTAAGTTGGTGTATATAGAGAGCACGAAGGTCACATCGCTTGCTGCCACGGGCATTTTCACGAAAAGTGTGCGCTTCTCACGCATGAAGTAACAATTGCGTCAAGGTCTCACTTTGCGCCATAATTTGCCACAATAATTTCTCATTTGTCCGTACTGTGCTTTCTCATTTCTGGTGTGAGTGTACTAACGGTAGTCACGTGGTTGGTTGGTCACGTTGTGAAACTACGGCATGCTGGGGACCATTTTGTGTAGATGACAAATTAACTCGAGTCCAGCTTAGCTCTATGAACACTGTTTCATATAATAAGCCTTCGTACACATTTACGATAGGTCAAGACTTACGCTTTGCAGCGATGCTGTTAGCTGCCGAGATGCCGAGCGCTGGTATATTAACGAGGACAAGATCATGATGTCATACAGTGTTACGCACAATTTGAAGGTCACGCCACTTCTTCTTGATACCTACGAGCGAGGACTGAACTGACAAGTTTACTCACGCTCGTATTATACCCTGCAAAGAAGGCAAAGACGAATACCGACCACCACTGCCAAGAGTCAGAAAATTTCTATACTTTTCTGCCTACGTGCGTTTGTTTTACTCGCCATATAAAAAAACGTTTATAAAAGTTGTTCAGAAACTCATAAACTACTCTTAGTTTTCAAAACAATTTTTTCACTTGGGTTGTGTCCTCTAGGATTGAGCAACAGGAACGTCTGCTTATCTATAGGCAAGTTTCTAGTTCACACAAGAATAATTCCCTGTTAATATATTCCCTATCAAATTTCTCTACTTCCCGATTCATTTCATTAGTTCATTGGCTTAGATGGTATTGTATATATATTCCTTGTTATTGTGTATAGTTACTGTATGTAGTATGTGTATACAGTACAGTCATTCCTAAATTTTTGTTTATTCCTATGGCAATCAATTTCTTGCGTATTCCTTTTCAATTCAAAATTAAAATTTTCCTTTATATTAACCACTAGTTTCATGACTGATCCTCCGTAATGGGTAGGAGCCAGGATTAAAGGAATCAAGAATGTTCATGAAATATGTTTTTGGCCAATCCCTGTGAGTGGGTATGAGTCAGGTTAGAGGTCTCATCCTCGTCATCATCTCCAGCCCCACTGCGTGTGCGCGTGAGCATGCCTGCCGAACACGGCACGCACTGTAGCAGTCGGACTCGCAGGCTCTTGTCTCTGTCCGGCCGCCTTCTCTGAGGCACCTGTAGCGATCAAGCAGCGAGACCACCACTTCGTGCGCAATACGCCGTGAAGTCCGCGGACACCACCAGCCAAGGGCTGCGTGCATGATGTGGGCCCAGGGTTCCTTTGGCAGTATTGCATCTACAGACCAAGACAAGGCCAACTGTACCGCCAGCTACGATATTGCGATCCCCGCTTCATACTCTCCTCCGCACCTTGAGCACCTCCGCAGTTCCAGGGACGTTGGTGACTTCGCTGTTGCTCCGAATGCCCACATCACGGTACCAACTTTCCCTGACAACCTGGCTTTGGGACAGTTTCAGTGGCAGCCGTTGCCGCGACCTATGCGGCTGTGCCGACAGCAGTGCTGCGCGGAGGCGCTAGCGGCTAGGAACGTGTTGAGGAGGTCGCTGAACGCACAGCGACAGCGGATTCGACGGCTGGACGAGGCCTATCGCACTGCCGAGAGGGTGCGCAACGCGCAGCGCCAGCGACGGCTCAGGGCCAATGCTGAATACAGGGCACGCGAACTGTACAGAAGCCGCCTTCGGAGGATGCAGAAGGTACTTTTTTTCACCCCACTTTTACATTTAGTCATAAATAGGTACCCATGCGAAGTTAGCCGTTTTTGCGACTTTGCTGCAGACGGAAGGGTGTGCAATGCCTGTATTACCCACCGACACGCAGTATAAATCCGGAGAAGGGGGGAAATGCCAGAGCCCGCATTGACGAAAGTGGCTGAACGCTGATATTGTTTGCAAGAGAATATTCCAGTCAATTTTGAAGCCGGGCACATTATTAGCGGAGCCAGCTGGTCAATGGCAGTGAAAATTTACCTACGAAAGTGTTCGTGAATTCTGCCTCCGTATATTGTAAAATTTGGTAGCCCAATGGGCAGTTTGCGAGAAATAAATGTCAAAATCAACCATTAAATAAGTAAATGGAAGAAATCAACCAAAATATTAACCCCCTAATCAAAGTGTTACGTTGTCGTTTGGGCTTTGGCATCAGATTCATTAACCTTGTGTACCGAGGAGTTAGTTCTCATACGTGTAAGGCTAATTGTCTCCAAATGAACAAGGTGATCACTTGGCTTCCATAGGCCTATCTTGTCATCTGCCAACAGGGGCCGACGTCTCGGTGTGCATTGGTCAGTTTCGGTGCCCGAAAGGCCCACGCTGACGTTGCACACATTGACCATGAGTAAGTGGAGTGAGGGTGTCATGAATTAGTGCAAGCCCTTCGAGTGCCGATGCGAATGCTGGACAGTGGGGCCTTAATGCCTCTGGAAAAGGTTACGGCGAGACGAATGGGATACGTTAAAAAAAATATACCGCTACTTCTTTTCGAAAGTGTATCAGTGGCTGGGTCTCTAGTTCTCATTTGTGTAATATACTTGTTTTAGGGGCGAAGCTCCTTAGGGCGTGGGCTGTGCGTCCCCTGTATGTAGCCACCTCTAGTTTAGTTCTTGCAGTGTTCACTAGATGGTGGTACCGTCCCCTGTATGTAGCCACCTCTAGTTTAGTTCTTGCAGTGTTCACTAGATGGCGGTACCGTCTCCTGTATGTAGAAGGGCCTATCGAAGGTCGCGAAAGGGAACGAAGACGCAGGTGACGGCGGAAGCATTATGGCGACGACCCCCCGTGCGGGAGAGATGAGGGAAACAGGCATGACAAAGGCAGATACATTGGCCACAGGGCCCAGCTACCGGGAAGTAGTTTTGAGGGAGGGAGGGAGCAAACCAGCAGCCGTGACTCACGCTAGTCACCTAGTCAGCAGCCAGGTGCAGGTTTCAGAAGGAATGTCTGAACAGGTCATCATCGCCGGTGACTCAAATTTAGTCCGATGCGCAGCGGCAATCAAAGAAAGGGTGAAAGGCGACAAGAGAGTTGCGATAGGGACGTTCCCAGGACAAACGCTGGGGACAGTAATGAGTCAAGCGGGTGAACCAACTCGCAGCTAAAGCTAACAATCGTAACCTCGTTGTAATTGCGGGAGGGTTAAATGACGTCCTGAAAAAAGAATCGTCAGGACTAGCGACGACCTTGGCGAAAGGGGTGGATGACATGCGCACCGTGTCCCCCCAGGTGCAAATTGTAGTATGCACAGTACCGGAAGTACCAGTACGCAACGTCAACCTGCAAAGAGCGGTTGTCGACGCAAACAAAGAGATATGGCGAATTAGTCGAGAGAAGGGTTTCGAGGTAGTGGATTTAAACAGGGAAGTGCACAGGTGGGGTGGATTCCAAAGAGACAAGATTCATTTCGATAAGAGGCTTGGACACGAGGTGGGCTGGCGACTGGCAGGACGCGCAGTAGCTTTTTTGGGGGGCTCACGGGCCCTTCGGAGTCTGGGGTAGCTCGTAACAGGGAAAACAACCAGGAGGACGCTTTGACAGGTAGAATTGCGAAAAACCAGAAAAAAGGTAAAAGAAAAAGGAAAAAAGGCGCGTGTTGCAATTATTTACATAAACATGCAGGGTGGCAGAAAGAAGGCAAAATGGTTAGAGATTGAGGAGCAATTAAACAAAGAACAGATAGGCGTGTATGCGGTTACAGAAACACACCTTAGAGACTTGGAAGAGCCACCACATATTAAAAATTATGTTTGGGAAGGGTGTAACAGGACCATATCGGAAAGGAAAGGTGGGGGTGTAGGAATGCTAATTCACCGCGGAGCCAAATGGGTTAGAGTGAAACAGACGTGTTCAGAGCACCTCTGGGTTCTGGGCACAGTAGGTGGAAAGGAAACGTGGCTAGGGGTAGCCTACTTGTGGACGGGGAATAACTGCAGAGAAAAGAATCAGGAGATAGTGGATTGC